GATTGGCTAAAAAATACAACGGTTTTTGATACATCGGAAAATCAACCAAAAATCGGAGACTGGGCGAAACGCTCAAGGTCGCAGAGGTATAGGGAATCCCATAGCGAAAGCAACGGAACGATTCTAATATCATGGGGAACTCCGTTCCCATGACAAGAAGACGTTAGTAGCAGAGAGAGAGCATTTTTAATCATATTATACAGTGTTACCAGGGCAACTGAGGACGAAACTAGGCGCGATAGAGCTGGAAAAAAAGAAATAACGCAAGAAAAAAAAAACGAGAAGTCGAAGTCGACAAACAGCCATTAAAGTTGACGGCACTCAGACTGCTGCTTCCAACTTTAGCGATGTTGTCTTGTCCAGCAGCAACGCGAAATTTATCGCACCTGTGAGCTAGAGGCCATATTCTAGGGTGAATCGAAAACAGACCTTTTGTTAACAATAATAGCAAAAAAACCGGCGTCGAATATGGAAAAACTCTCGTGATAGAGTTTCAGCCCTCTATCCTAACTTTTAAATCAAGTCCCGGACATTTCAAGGGATGGAAATCAAAGTATACGTCTATTGAAGACTTTGACATCCTCAAAGAACTTAACGAGTTACGATCCTTTGGAAGAAAATTTCACGTGAAAAACAAACCCAAATATTTTGATACAAAACAACATTTGGAAAATTTCACGTATAAGGAGAAAAGATTAAGTTCACAATGATGATTTCGCTACACTTCAGGTAGGCGTCGTGGCCCTATACTTTCGCTCAATTTTAATTCGTTATTTGTAGCTAGTATAATCCATGCAACCGTGTTGATAATGCTGCACGGACCATAAATCGTGACAGGGGCGTCAAAAGTGTACCGGCGGTGGCAGCGGGAAAGATATTTACGGTCGCAATCTCGGCTTCCTAGACAATGTGCGTAAAAATGGGAGCTTAAATTTGCGTATTAATGGACCGCTAGACAAGGTACGAAGTTTAAGCATTCTGCTACTTGTTCTTTTGTTACAAGTACAAATTCCTCTCAGCGTCACAAGTATCACTGAACAAGATCATTAGACCCTTCAAATGTTATTCAAGACGTATTTGAGCACACCATACTAAATGAGCCTTTTTCCGTTTCCCTAATGGACCACTAAACCAGAAAGGAAGTTAAGCACTGATACAAGTCACTTATCCAAAATTTTACGCAGAACACGATTCGCGCAACAAAAATTACTAAACTTAACTTCTAACCAAGATATTTAATGTTTCTTGACGCGTGAATTCAAACCTCCCGCTCGTGAAAACGCAATAGTCTTTGTGAGTCAAATCGCACACTAAACTTTACCATGACAATCTCTGCGATATGAAAATCTGGAAACCTTAATCTTGACGCTTTGGCTCAGCTATGGCAGACTGTTTGCACTTAGAACGATAAAGGTTGGGAAAGGAACAAGGTTCGTTTGAGAAGCCTGCCAAAATTGAATCAGTGAGAACGGAAACACACCAACTCGAAAAAATGAAAATAATCAAGACACAAGCAAAACTGCACAGTGGTTGAAGAAGTTAGCACAGGAAAAAGATTTTTGGAGCCGAAAGACAAGTGCTTAGGGACACTCTAAAGGTTCAAGTTGAAACAGATGCGTTGACTCCAATTACCTTTATGAAAACTAACTCCCTTTGATAAAAATTGAGAATTTTCGAGTTACCGAGTTGGTGTGTTTTCGTTCTCACTGACTCAATTGTTGTGAAGCGCCACTTGAATCTCGTAGAGAATTGTGTCTCTTGTGACCGCGCAATTAAAAATCTCCGTAACCAATATCAAATAAAAACGTTATTATCTCAGGTAGGAGTTGATTTCAGTAATTTTTGATGCAAGAATCGTGTTCTAAGTGTTTTAATTAAGAAACATGTATCAGAATGCTTAAATGCGTACCTTTTCTACTAGTCCATTCAGAGGCGGATCCAGCAACTTGGCAACATTGTTTTTCTCCTTTTAAACCTACGGAAATGTATCGATTTTTGGAGGGTCCAGGTGCTCCGGCATGAATCGATTATTCAACAGTGGTTTAATAGGAGGAAACCCGGTGTTGCCAAATTGCTGGATCCGCCAATGGGTCCATTGCGTTTGAAATGCGTATTAATTGGTCATTGAAATGAAAATAGCCGTAACTCAAGAGTTACATTTAATTTTTGTGAATTTTCCTTGGAGCTTCTCCCTTTGAGAGGATAGGGGACTTTGGCGGCTAGGTGTTGCAGAGCGCCAGGGAGCGCTATAAAAGCGGCTCATATATTTATATGGCGTTTGAAAATGACCCTGTGATGTCTTTCATGAGGTCTTCTCCTATCATGGCTCTGTAAAAGATATATCAAAGTCTTTAGAGAATAATCAATAATGCAGTCTTGAACGCACAAAATGTATTAACAAACAAACACAATATATGTAATTTGATGAATACAGTGGACTCTCGATAATTCAAAATTGAAGGGAATTGGCTTTTTATTCGAATTAGCGAGTTTTCGAAATAAAGAGAGTTCGAATTAAAGAGATTCCATGTGAAGAAATTTCGAATTAGAGAGTTTCGAATTATAGAGGGAAGGCGCCATCTGAATTCGAATTATAGAGGGGCAAATGGACGGATTTACGCCAAAAGGTCTTTAGGTCAAAGGTCAAGCTCTTTCAGACACCCAGATACATAAACAGTTGACTTCGAATTGTAGAGGGAATGTACCGTCTCATTTCGAATTATAGAGGTAGCGGCATATTTATTTCCCGCACTTCGAATTACAGAGAGAATTTTCGTCGCAATTTCGAATTATAGAGGGCTGCGCCAGTTTAAAAATTTCGAAATAACGAGGGGAGAAAAATACATTGATTTTCTTCGAATTATCGAGAGATTTTCAAGGGAAACAGACTTTCCTTCGAATTAACGAGGTTTTCGAATTATCGAGGTTCGAATTATCGAGAGTCCACTGTATAAATTCACAAAAAATTATTCACTAAAAATTGGCATGATAAATGAAACAATTTGATAAATTTCTAAATTCTTTGGGTCCTAAATTCCGCTTGAAAGAGAGGCTAAAAACCGTGATTTACAGTGCTTTCTCTCTGTAACGACTATTGTTGTAACGAGAATCTCTCTGTAACGAGGAAATCGGTCGGTCCCTTGAACTTTCAATGTTAAATATCGACTATCGTTATAATGGGAATCTCTACATCGAGGAAATCGGCCGGTCTCTAGAGTTCTCGTTATAGAGAGAAAGTACTGTAATTATAATTGGTGACATTATTTTACTTGTACTTTTGCTCAGTATGCCATCAGTCTGAACCAAAAAGGAAGTCATCGTCATCAGTCAAGGAAAAATCGTGATAAAATAAATCGAACATCATAGTTCACGTAATATGACTAAGAGTAGGTAATATAAAATCGTACTAGATTGGTTTGGGAAGGGTTTGAGCGCTCAATCACGAATTAAAGGAAAAGGCGTCCGGCATGAAAATAGTTAGTCTCAGCGAACGTCTTCAAGAATAGAACCCCTCCCTAGGGGCGTCAACTTGTGGACATTCAAACAAAAGATGTTATTTTCGTCTTAATATACACCGGGGAAAAACTCAACACAAATGAGAAAAAATAAAAATATAAAAAAAATATTCCATTATATTCTCTTACGGTCGAAGGAATTGGCTCTTAAAAGTATTTTAATTAAATTAAGGAAAATCCGAAGCACCTTTGGGAAACTGTTCACCTTTCTTCTCATTCAGAAAAAAAGTAAGTATTTAATATTGAGAGAATTAACTTTTGAACCGTAGCAAATCAAATCTTAAATTCTAGAGACATGGAGATTTTATGACTCACAATATGCAATACGTAATATGCAAAAAAAAAGTCGATTTGCGATTCAATCCCTGTGTACATTGAATAAGTCGCATCCATGCGCCCGTATATTTGCTGTATATTTGAGGGCTTCTTTCATGCACACTTAGCTTTCAATCGTATACATGGTTTTCATTGATCTATCTAGAGAGGATAACGAGAAAATTTGAGCGTTTCTCCTCTTTCATATAAAAAAAACCTCCAAGTTTAAAATAAAATAAGTGGGAATGAAGCTCTTGGATGCCTCAAGGATTTGCGATCCTGGGACTTTTTTGTACGTATACTTTTCCTGGAAACACGATGATTTTCTTTGAAATAACTCCTGACCTCAAAAAATCTCTCACAGATCGTAATGGAGGGGATCGTTTGCCCTTATTATTTCCGGTCAAAATTTTCATGAATAGATAGAGAGATAGATATAGATAGAGAGAATAGAGATAGATAGAGAGAATAGAGATAGATAGAGATATAGATACAGATAGAGATAGATAGAATAGATAGAGAGAAAATATATTGGCATGATTGCCACTTTGCACGAAGACTCTAAGACCGAAGCCATGGCAACGATGCAAATTTATCTGTTTCTTATCTGCACACAGAGAGTTTGACTGGATACGAAGATGGACAGGCGATCCATCCATTACGGCCTCAACTTTGAGAGCTTTATTATAGCATAGAAGTTAGTTCAGAGACAACCAGTAGCACCAGAAGTGTTTCGCGCAAAATTTTAGCTACGAAAAACTAATTAAATCTAGATTCCTTGTGGTACGCAAGAACTCCATTGTTATGGTTATAACTGCTCTGCTTTGTACAGTTGATGTCCACTTGGTTACAGTTAATGTTAAAAATGTTGTTGTGACAGGGTGCCTTAAATTGGATAGCATTTTACGATTAGGAACTATAATTTCTGGCTCATGTTAAAAACAGCATACATACCATAAAGCTCCCTATGCAGGTAAGTGCGCTTTCATGGATGAGCCTGAAATTGTAATTCCTAATTGCAAAGTGTAATCCAATTATGATGGATTGAAGATTTGGTCTGCTATGTGTCTAAGCGGCCACCAGCAACTGAGTCTGCAGCATCTGAAGCTTGACTTGTGGCACTATCTACATGACCCGGAAGAAGTCTAATATATTTCTTGGGTATGTAGCTGCGTACGTCGCGGTGTCACTTGGGCTTAAGGACGTATCACTCATGGTTTCCATGGATGTCAAGTATGTAGTTGCGTACGTTACAGTATCACTTGGGTTTGAGGACATATCACTAGAACTTGAGGTCATATTACTTGAGCTTGAGGACGTAGATGATGTATCACTCGTGGTTTCAATGGATGTCAAGTATGTAGTTGCGTATGTCGCAGTATCACTTGGGCTTGAGGACATATCACTAGAACTTGAGGTCATATTACTTGAGCTTGAGGACGTAGAGGATGTATCACTCGTGGTTTCAATGGATGTTAAGTATGTAGTTGTGTACGTTGCAGTATCACTTGGGCTTGAGGACGTATCGCTTGCGCCTGAGGTCGTATCACTTGGCAGAGGTGGTGTTGGTGTCGTCGACGTTGTATCGTACGAGGTATAGAAGGCTGTGGTGGAATCGCTGGATGTAGAGGAATCGCTGGATGTAGAGGAATCGCTGGATGTAGAGGAATCGATGGATGTAGAGGAATCGCTGGATGTAGAGGAATCGATGGATGTAGAGGAATCGCTGGATGTGGAGGAATCGCTGGATGTGGAGGAATCGATGGATGTAGAGGAATCGATGGATGTAGAGGAATCGATGGATGTAGAGGAATCGGTGGATGTAGAGGAATCGGTGGATGTAGAGGAATCGGTGGATGAAGAGGAATCGATGGATGTAGAGGAATCGATGGATGTAGAGGAATCGATGGATGTAGAGGAATCGCTGGATGTGGAGGAATCGCTGGATGTGGAGGAATCGATGGATGTGGAGGAATCGATGGATGTAGAGGAATCGATGGATGTAGAGGAATCGATGGATGTAGAGGAATCGATGGATGTAGAGGAATCGATGGATGTAGAGGAATCGATGGTGTCGTGACGTCATCGGCGTGACCGATGTCGATAGGAATGAAACACAAGACACTGGAAATACGGGACTAATGATATATTCGATATGTTACAGAGTGAAGCTGAGGACTACCGGCGGTTCTGGGGTCGGGGCGAGGACTGGATGCGCACTGGAGCAAAGCGAGCTCCCATCATCAAGGTGAATGAGTCATAGATACTAAGTGTCGTAACTACTATGAGTCAAGAGGTTGAGTCACTGAGTGTGAGTCACAAATAGGCTATGAAATACGGATATAACAGTCTCCCCTTCGTAAATGAAGGAAATCGGGGCGGGGAACAATGTTTCGAGAAAAAAAAACTAAAGCCTTACGAGCTTGCGACTTACGGTCGTTACTGTATGAAAGGGTCCCTGATAGTCCTCTTAAAATATTAAAGCTAATACATTGTGGTTGCTACGAGTGTAGAATATAAGAGGAAAATTTTTTTTTTTTTTTTTTTTTTTTTTTTTACGTTCTAAATGCAACCAAAGAACAATACAGTGGGATTTAAAAAAAAATTGGAGTAACTTTACTTGAAAGTGTTTTCGTCGATGGTGAACGGCTTGGCTTTTTGCTGTAGGACCTGAGTAAGGGCGGTGGACAGGTTCTTTTTTCTTCTCGTATTATTACGGCAGTACCTGTAGAGGAAGTATCCGAGGATAAGGATAAACACGAAGAGTAGAAGTCCATACTGTATGTGGTCGTGGTGAGGAACGCCAAGGCCTCTTGCATCTCCTGCGTTTATTATCTCTACCTTTTCGTGATCGCCGATGAATCCCATGTCAAAAGCGGAAGGAGAAGAGGAAGGTTCTACTGCTGACTCGATGATTTCTTCAATATGATTCAGGTCTATGATCCGTGGTGGAGGTGACGTCCGCAATTTGTAGTAGACGAAGAGTCCCGGGAAGAAAGCCGTTTTGAAAATTAAAGTGTGTCGCTAGCACTGGGGAATGATTTCGTAAGATCACTGGAATGTCTGTTTGAGAAGTGTGAGCACTGACGGTTGAGTTTAGACTGGATCGGCCAGACTCTGATCGATCCCGATGATTGAACAAGGGACAATTGATATCAGTATTGATGAATCACAGCGAGATTACGCGACGTGAGTCATTGTTTGATAGCCCACACAAAGAAATGACGTAATTTAACAACTGAGGATTTAAATTAAAATTTTAGGAAAATTCCTTTTTCTAAATTTGGAAATGTTCTACTAGTATCTGTAGGGGGGTGAGCGTTTTTCGAAAATAAACTTATTTTCATTTTGTATATTTGCACACACGAGTCTGAGCATTGTAGCGGTAGCGAGCAATTGGTTGTGTAAACACTCGATAGCTCCGTCCGCACCTGCAGTTAAGCCAATCAGCTGTTCCATTGTCTCCTCAAAGTGGACACAGTGTTGAATTAGTAGGCAGCGTCGAACGTTGTTAAGAGTATCCGTACTCCTGGGCGATGATCGAAAAACGTACGGATTCCGTTCCGGTTCGCGATTGTTATTTTTCACTTCTTTGACATTTTTGACTGACTCGGCACGATCACATTGCGTTTCCATTTCTTCCATTTCACGTTCTAATAGTTCGTCTAGGGATGAGGCGGAAATTGTGATATGACTCATGATACTGTAAATGTGTAGCACTTTAGAGCGAAGGGTGACGACGCGGGGCGAACTAAACGAGGACTGGGTGTGAATCACAAGGAAAGTACTCATTTCTCGTGCCGATCTAATTGCGTAATATTTTATTTTGTTTTTCGAAATGATTATCTATGATGCGTAATTCTAGCAAATCTCGCAACTAATTTCCTGTATTAATTCGGATAAGGCGTGAGTAATCTGGTGAGTTATGGTTGATAACGCTCTGGCGCTTTCCGGTGCCGCGTTGATCTTCGTGGAATCGCTTCTTCTTCCTGGGTGGCGACATATGGTTCCAGAAGCGGGAGCAGTGAGTCATCAAGGACGCCTTGTTTCCGTGGCGGCCTGCTTTGAGGTTCATGGTCAGCCCTGGGGGGTGATCCCAATTTTAGCTGATCTATGTGGCGTTTAAATTCGTAGTTGTTATGGGTCAGTTTTACCCAATAATGTAGATGACCCAATTTCCGAATGATGATGCCATGTTTCCATGTTATCCTGTTGTCTTTGTACACTGCCGCGTATACATAATCGTTTGTTTGAAGCTGGCGCGTACGGGGTAGTTGATTATTGAATTTGTCTGGTACAACTGGATGCAATAAATCTAGGCCTATTCTAATTTTCCTGTTGAGGTAAAGTTCTGCAGGAGATTTTCCTGACGCCAGGGGCGTAGCATGATATCTCAATAGGATTGTTTGTAATTTTTCTTCCAGCGTACCGGCTTCGTTTTTCATTGCTTTTAGCTTATGTTTAATTGATTGAACTGTGCGTTCGGCTAAGCCATTTGTTGCTGCGTGTCCAGGAGCAATGAGTCTCTGCCTTATGCCATTTTTGATGCAGAAATCCTGGAATGTTTGGCTTGTGAAAATTGAAGCATTGTCGCTAACCATGTAAATTGGTAAGCCATGCGATTTGAAAATGTCACGTAGATAACGGATTGTTGTTTCCGATGACGGTGCCTTTCGATCGAATCGTATTTCGATCCATTTTGATTTTGCATCGATAAGGATGAAGAAGTTGTGTCCTTCTAATGGGCCCATGTAGTCGATATGTATGCGTTCGAAATTATTTTCTGGGGGGTCCCATGCGTGAGTTGGTACCTTGTGCGGTCCTGATTTGTTTTCGTTGCATGCTATGCATTCACGCACATATTTTTCGATTTCCTGGTCAATGTTTTCCCAGTAGACGTACCGTCTTGCGAGCTGTTTCATTTTTGTGCTCCCCGTGTGGGATAGATGCAGGGCTTGTAATATCTGACTTCGTAGTTTTGTCGGAACATAGAGTCAATTTTGCCATAGTAATAAATCTCCTTGTAGAGAGAATTTTGCGAATTTTGGCGTGCTGGATAGCTCCGAGTCTGTGCGAAGAATTTGTAAAATTTTTGCGAGTTCTTTGTCTTCTAGTGTTGCCATTCGTAATGTATCATAGTTTAGTTTATCATCCGAAATCACGTTTATCATTTCAAATGTATGTCCTGAGCTTTCTGATTCGAAGCATTTTTCAATGTCTGAGGGTTTTTCGTCCACAGGTGCACGTGACAGGAAATCTGCGTGGGGGATTTCCGTGGAGCGCTTTAATTGAATTTCGTAGTCGAAATTTTGCAGAAAAGTAGCATATCGCATTAATCTATTCGATGTGATGAGTGGAATTTTCGCATCTGGGGCAAGGATGTGTCGGATAGGTCGATTGTCCGTGATCAACGTGAAATGACGGCCAAATAGGAAGTAATAAAAGCGTTTTACTGCGAATATTACAGCAAGTGCTTCTCTGTCAAGTTGGCTGTAATTTTCTTCGGCTCGCGTAAGTGAGCGCGAAGCAAATTGTACTGGCCGTTCCTCGTTATCAATCAAATTTGCGAGGACTGCGGCAACACCACTCGGACTTGCGTCCGTTGTTACTAGAATTCTCTTATCAGGCTGGAATGGCACGAGCACAATGTCGCTTGCCAGAGTTTGCTTCAAATTTTCGAATTCTTTTTCGCATGCTGGAGACCATTTAAATTGAGTTTCTTTTTTGAGTAAGTTAGTAAGTTCCGCAGGTTTTTTGTGTTACCTGAAAATGAAGGTATAAATTTAGAGTAGAATGTGACCATACCTAGGAATGTGCGTAATGACTCCACATTTTGTGGTGCTGGTGTCTCTGTAATTGCGCGTACTTTTGTTGTATCCTTTGAAATTTGATTGTTGCTGATTAAGTGTCCCAGGTACGTGATTTCCTTAAGGAAAAATTCACATTTTGAGCGATTGAGGTGTATGTTGTTGTCTGCCAAGCGTTGGAGACAACCTCGTAGATTAGCAGCGCATTCTTCTTCAGAGGCTCCATGGCATATTATATCGTCAAAGTACGTTGTGACTCCCTTAAGTCCAGCTAGTAATTGATCGATTACCCTGTGGAATTCTGATGGGGCTGTTTTGATACCAAATGCCAGACGTAGGAATTTGTATGCTCCTTTATGCGTGATTATCGTTTGTATTTCCGAGCTCTTTTCATCCACTTGTACATGTAAGTATGCCTTGTAAATGTCTAACTTACAAAAGAATTTTGATTTCACCAGGTTGGATAAAATTTCGTCAATTCTTGGCAGTTGGTAGTGTGCCGTAACTAATTGCTTGTTAACAGCAACTTTGTAATCTACGCATAGTCGGACTGTGTTGTCGGCTTTGGGGATAATTACCAGTGGACTAGCCCAGTCGCTGACTGGAACTGGTTGGATTATACCTTGAGTTTCGAGTTTTGCCAATTCTTCATCTACCTTGGAGAGTAGAGCGCTTGGAACACTTCTTGGGCGGAGTGCAACCGGACGTGCTTCGTCGCGGAGCTGAAGTGCAATTTTTACGCCGGGAATGCACCCAACTGTAGGCGTAAATGTTTCTTGATATAACGCGAGAATTTGTGTAACTTCTACGTCAGCGTCGAATGTGTGTTCGATTTTTGAAATGCAGGCATTTATGTGTTTGCCTGCAATTGTATCGATTTCTTTTAACTCGATGTCGAGTTTTCGAATCCATGGTCGTCCCATGATAGGTGTGTATTCATCTGTGACTACGTAGAATGTATCGGTAATGCTTTTACCTTTGTATGTAATTATAGTAGTGACTTCGCCTAAAGACCGGAATGTTGTTCCTGTGTATGCCTTAAAATGTTTTGAGGACGGCGTAAGTTTTGAATTCATATACAGCTCTTTATATGCTGTTATCGGCAACAGTGTTTGTGAAGCGCCGGAGTCGACTTCGAATGTTTGTGTGCGTCCGTTGATAAGGACGTTGACCCGGTACTTACGCGTGTTGTTATCAGCCTCGTGCGTAAAAATTTCTTCTGCCTCTTCTATTACGTTGATGCGGTCATCATCTGTCTCTGTGCATGATTCATTATCAGTATCTGACAGATAATTGCAGTCCTGTTTTTCCTTTAAAGGGGACGTGATGCATACTTTGGCAACGTGGCCTCGTTTGTTGCATGCTTTACAGGTTAATTTGGGTGTGCTTCTGCAATCTCTTGATTTGTGAGATGTATTGCCGCAACGCAGGCATTTACCTTCTAGGCCCAATTTTATCAAAAGGTCTCTTTTTCTGTAGCTCTTCTGCTTGTTATTATTATTATAATTTTTGTAGCCATTTCTTTTGCGGTTCCCTCTGTATGTGTTGCTGAATTTTTGAGAGTCATCGACTTTTTTAATGTCACTTGCAGGTGAAGTCTTGGCCGTAAGGCACAATTCAGCGGAGTCTGTGTGTGACGCCTCCAGTGCGATTGCTTTTTCGAGTAATTTGTCGAATTCAAGTTCTTCTGACTCGAGAAGTTTTTCACGGATTCCCGTGTCTTTCAGCCCTCTAATGAATTGAATGCGGAAGAAAATGTCGCTAATGTCCGCTTTACAATTGCATTGGAATTCACAGTCAATTGAACTGCGTTTCAGTTTTGCGACAAATTCGGTAATTGTACTCGATTCTTGTATTATTCCGAAGAATCTATGATGAGCAACGACTGGTTTGACTTTTGGACATAGGTGCTTTTGTAATTTCTCGACCAATATTTTATAGGGCGTCTCTTCCGGGGCTTTCGGCGTGCATAAAGGGACCACTAAGGCATAATGTGATGCTCCAATTGAGTTTAGGAGAAGTTGGCGGCATGCTTTGTCGTCCGTTTCTTTCTTGGGATCTAGGCCTTTAATAGAAAGGTAATTTTCGAAGCGTTTAATGTAGAATGTAAATTTCTCTTTCTTTTCATCGAATTCATCAAAGTGCTTGTATAATGCTGATTTGGGCAAACCTGCTAGTTGGTTTCGGCTTGAGGCTGCTTCTGTTTGTTCCCGGAGTGCTGCAATTAGTCTCTCGTTGAATTGCTGCTGAGTTTCCTGTGCCTTTGCAATGTTTTCGTCCTGGGTTTTCTGAAGCGTTTTCAGAATCGTTGTAAGTTCTGATGCTTGCATGTTGAATGTGTTGAACGTGTACTGTTCGCTGGATGTACTTCAATGTGAAGGAGTCTCGACCGAATGTGCTGAACGCGTAATGTAGTCGCGTAAAAAAAGAAAACTTTTGCGTAAAGATTAACTTTTTTTTTTTTGAATTTTTGAAATTATGCACGCGCACGATAGTTTTTGAATTTTTCTTTCACCTCGTCGCCAATTGTCGTGACGTCATCGGCGTGACCGATATCGATAGGAATGAAACACAAGACACTGGAAATACGGGACCAATGATATATTCGATATGTTACAGAGTGAAGCTGAGGACTACCGGCGGTTCTGGGGTCGGGGCGAGGACTGGATGCGCACTGGAGCAAAGCGAGCTCCCATCATCAAGGTGAATGAGTCATAGATACTAAGTGTCGTAACTACTATGAGTCAAGAGGTTGAGTCACTGAGTGTGAGTCACAAATAGGCTATGAAATACGGATATAACAGATGGATGTAGAGGAATCGATGGATGTAGAGGAATCGATGGATGTAGAGGAATCGATGGATGTAGAGGAATCGCTGGATGTAGAGGAATCGCTGAATGTGGAGGAATCGCTGGATGTGGAGGAATCGATGGATGTAGAGGAATCGATGGATGTGGAGGAATCGCTGGATGTGGAGGAATCGATGGATGTAGAGGAATCGATGGATGTGGAGGAATCGCTGGATGTAGAGGAATCGATGGATGTGGAGGAATCGCTGGTTGCAGAAGAATAGGTAGTTGTAGCGGAATCAGTGGTCATATAGGTTTGAGCTTCGGTGTTTTGCATGACGACGAATGCCACTGCGACAAAAACGATTGCCGAAATCGTCATTAAGAAGTGCGCCATATTGTGTTGAGCTGTAAAATCCGCGGAACTGCAATAAAAGAATGAGCAATGAGTAAATTCTGGCAGTTGTGAAGTACTCTTATGGTGGATCCTCAGCTTTCGCAAAATTCATTCTTAAATACGATCGATAAATCTCAAATTTTAACCTTGAAGTGAAGTATTTTGGGAAAAGCTAAATTTCAGTCCATAGATAAATCATTGAAAAATATTCGTGCCGAAAATCAGCCTCCAAAATCTTAAAACAAAAAGCAAATTTTCGTACGTCAACTGTTAACAAAACCGTAAACTGTTGACGAATATTGATTGGACTGCATTTTGCAATTTAAAGCTATAAATTCTGGCAAATCTGAAAAAAACACGTATGTGCATAGGAAAACTAATGGCACATACGTTGTTTTTAAACCGAGCCGGAATTTATAGTTCCAAATTGCAAAATGCAGTCCAATTTACACTGAATTACAGGCGAATTGGCGAGAAAAGCTAGGCCACGACCATCTGATCACAACTGGAGAACGAAAATTTGTTTGGATGATGTACTTCGGACACTGTTTACGGATTTCGTCAGCAGTTGACGAACGAAAATTTGCTTATAGTCAAAAGTACTATTTCCAATTAACTATCAATATTGGTACTTTGAAATCAGCCACCTCGCTTTCCTCCAGAACTTTGGAATGTATTTGAGACTGTTAGAGCCGGAGTAATGCGAACCACCAATTCTGTTGAAGGGTGGCATTCTGGTTTTCAGAAAAAAGTCGCCACTCATCACCCAAACATCTGGAAATTCATGGACTTCTTGCGGAAGGACGAGTCAAATAATTCTGGCCTCATAACACAACTGCTTGCAGGGCATTCAAGAATTAAACATCCGATCAAGAAAAAATACGTAACCAATTTGAGAAGAATAGAAGAGATGGTTAGGACCTACGAGACATACAAGAATAATAATCAAATTCGCACATATCTTCGAGGTTTAGCCCACCGTATCAAAGTAAATCCCCATGAAATTGTCGAGGACGAAGATGATGATCTCCGCTGATCTGAAATCTCCGCATACATGTGGTTTTCACCTAGCAATGTAAGTTGGAAAATTTTTTGAGACCCACAAACCTAATCCATTACATCATATTTTCTTCATTGTGTAGGAAATATTTTATATACAATATTGTGGACATATAATACTGTGGCCATAAATGTGGCGGACATAATTTTTTTGGACATTCAAAATGGACATAAAGGCGGTGGACATATGAATTTAGTGGACATAAAGTCCTGGAACCTCAATGATTTATCTACAGACTGAAACTTAGATTCTCCCAAAATAATTCAACTAAAGGTTAAAATTTGAGATATATCGATCGTACCCACAATGCATTGCGCAAAAGCTGGAGATCCACCCTAAGTCTCCTACATAGGGAGAGATCAGACATCTCGGCTACCGTGTTGATGGCTGTTCCAATGTTACGTAGGCCACGAAAGGAAAGAGCTGGTCTAAACTTGCCTTACTTGGTCGTATCATAGCGCCTCTGATGTAAAGGCCTATCTCCATTTCCACCTGACCCTTGGAAAGTATGAAGTTATATTAACCGTAGGGCTCGTGGAACTTGAGATACGCTCTAACGTCAGAGGAGCGACGATACGAGAGGAAGAGAGGAGGGCCACTTCTAGTCTTCGTGGATAAGCCTTCCTCTTAAAAAAAAAAAAAAAAAAAAAAAAAAAAAAAAAAAAAACAAGACAATATCTTAATACAATTTTTTTCAGAAATTTTTCAGATTCAAAATGGGAGGGGAGGGGAGGGGGTGACAAGTCGTTATGCAGGTGTCTAAAATGGGGGAAAGGGTCGGAAAATCGGCCGTAACGTAATACTTGAAGGGCCCCTAGGCAAAAAGAGAAGGAACTACCAGATTCTCGGAATCGATTTTCACGTTTCCTCCGAAACGTAACTGAATTAATTTGAATAAAATGGATGATTTCGCTTTAAACCCTACGATGAGAGCATTAGCAAAGTACTTCCTAACAGATCCGTGCGTGGACTAACGTAGACTGATGTTTTTGTGAACTAATATAAGATTTTCTATGGACGGTCACAAATTGACATTAGAACGGCAAAAAACGCGTATCTACATTGTGATGTTTCAAACTTCCCACCTACCAAAAGTTTTTTCAAATGAGATTGAAACAATATAATATCATTATTTTTCACACTGAGAAGAAACATCACTAAAATTTTAGAAAAATAATGTTGAGTTGTTTGCTATTTGGAGAGTGAAGTACATATGACAGGAATTCCAACGGAGAGAGTTTCTGTTAGATCAATAGTAATTCCAATTAATAATAGCCGGACGAGAATTCTCTTTGAGTCAACAGGAAATCTATTTTTCTGCAAACGGTATTCCTGTTATTTCAAGGAAACGCCATGTCTTTTTAAAGAGTTTTCCGGTTGATTGAACGAGAAATCCCGACCGGAATTCCTTGAGTGGAAAATTGTTCTCAATTAGCATATCGCCGCAAATCGAGATACGCGATTCTACGGTTTCACAGGCGATGTGGTTTTCAACACTGAGACCACAACTACATAATCACAATCAAATTCATTCGTCTCATTTTTTCGAAAACATAAAAATGACGGATGATCCGAAAAACTCATTTACCTGGTAGAGGAGACTGGTCTCGCGACTTGAACTGACACCGATCCTAAAACCGCAAGTCTGTCGTGTCCCGCGCTATCAGACAAGTCAATATCAAGTCATTTTGTGGTGATTTTCCTGTCAGATGATTTTCCGGCCTCCAGAATTTTCCTGCTCATTATTCTCATTTTTTAATCGTCAGTCCACAAAAAAACTTTTCCTGATCGATAACCCTCGGAACAGATTAGCCCCAAATGAACAATGCAGGAGTTTACAGCTCATAATTCCTTTAAAATCCATGCTAAATAATCGATTCTTGTCAGAGCACCCGGCCTTTCCAAGAATCGATACATTTCCATAGGTTTAAATGGAGGAAAGACAATGTTGCCAATTTGCTGGATCCGCCAATGTTTTCCGTTGGGAGCTATGGTAAAGAATCGATTATGAAGATGATAATCGATCCTTTTCCATAGGTTCAAATGGCGGATCAATCGATTCATCGCAAACCACGCCACTTCGACTTCGGTTTCCACTTATAAGTAAAATGCGGCGGTTTTAAAGAAATCGCGTACAAAAAACGGCAAGCGAGCACAGCAGGCTGATAAATTTTCAAAGTCGGCGTTCTCAAAAGTGGGCCAAGTCTCGCACTGCAACTGATTGAGTTAACAAAGGAAGAGATTATTGTGACAAAAGAAAAAGTGCAAGGACGTATTTTAAAAGCGCGTACCTCGGCCGGGAAATCTATGAGATATGATTGATGCTCTGGAGCCCGCGAGAAGATATACAATAACTATGGGGCTTATGCCCCCTTGCCGCTCCGCGGCCCTGCCGCTCCGCGGCTCCTCCGGCCTCCGTGGCGCCGTGCGCCCCCAAAGGCCGCTTCGGGGCCAGCGAAATCGTCGAAATCGCCCGTTGGCGGTTGATGAGCAAATACTTTTAATTGAATTACAAGAGGATATTTCATAGAATAATTTCCCGCCAAACAATATTCTTAATGACTGTCTCCTTCCTCTGAATTTGGATTCCTTTTTTGGAAGTCGACCTTGATAGGGCCACATATTCCAAACCCATGACCAAACAAAGGCCTCCGAAAGTAAAGACCCACTCTATTAAAATTCTGGCCTTTGAACTCCCCTCACTCCTACCCATCGACCGTAATTCGGTGTAGCCTTTGAAGCACCACTACAAATAAGACGAACGGAAACAAAGACAACAAGGAAATGAAGCAAAAGAAAGGGCGCGCCTTGATGACGGCGCAGAGATACAACTATTTATGCTTGATGGATGACCGGGTTGCATCTGCAAAATTGAAGGCGCGATGGCGCGCGGCATGAGCTCGAGCTTGCAATCCTCCTTTCTATGCTGCCAATGAGATGTCGCTCAGATTCGGAAGATAAGTGAAACCAAGCGGAAAAGCTCGGACATTCGTATTGAATAAACGCTCAGCTCCTTTCTATTTCGGCGTGTTTTCAAGTTCCCTGAAGAAGTTGAGCAACGTTGAGTGAAAAAACTCGCCTCACCAAAATTTCAACCAGTTTTGAGAGAAGCACACTGCGTTGGAAAAATAAATTATAGAAAAACGATTACCGTCCTCCGCTCTTTGACATCAGGGGCATTAAAGAAAGGTATCGCAGATTAATCTATTCTAAAGATGTGAGACCCCTAAACTCCATCTTGTTGTTTAGCCGGTGGCGCCATCTGAACGCATTGCCACTGTATATGAGAATGGACCACTAGACAATGTACAAAGTTGAGCATTCTGATACATGTTTCTCAATCAAAATTTTACGTAAAACATGATTTGCGCGACAAAATTACTGAAATTAACTCCTCACCGATATATATATAATGTTTCTCGACGCGTGAATTCAAACCTTCCGCTCATGAAACACAACGGTCTACGTGAGTCAAATCGCACACAAAAAATTACCATGATACTCTTTGCGATATGAAAATCTGGCAAACTCAGTCTTGACTCTTGACGAGGCTCAGCTGTATCAAGTGGTTTATAGTTTGAACAACATAGGGTGGGAAATGCTGGATTGAGATATAGTGCGCGATTGGACTCACGTAGAGTATTGAATTTCGTGTGATTGGGCAATTCAAATTTCCCGTAACCAATGTAAAACAAAAACGTTCATATCTTAGAAGGGGAAATGATTTCGGTGATTTTCGATGCAAGAATCGTGTTTTAAGTGAAATTCTGGTCAAGAGACATGTACCTATCAGAGTCCTTAAATTCGCAACTTGTCTAGTGGTCTATTCTACAGGCAGGTCGAAATAAAAAATCGCTTCCTATCTGCTGGGCGTTTAAAACGAGGCTAAAAGACAACTCTTATCTACAGCTGCGTTGACGCTCAATTTATTTTCAATTTGACGTCGAATTATCTTTTTAGAATGTATTTGTTGACCTTTATCTAAAGCTCGTGTGTACCGGCACCAGCCCCACGACTACCTCAGAAGAGATGGCCAAATCTATAT